GACAAGCACTTAGGCATTAAAAGAAAATAAATATAAAAATACCACAGTATTTGTTGAAACACACCAGGGTGGATGGAGCTTTAAAAACTTCTCCTCCAGCAGATAACTATGTTACATTGGCTTCATTATCACATGCTGCAACACATGACATTTCCTACTTGAAACTCAGCCTAAGACCAGAATACCTGGTCTTGATCAGAACTGTCATTAACATAAAAATAAACTACATTTGGCATTAGCTTTGTAAACACAAAAGAGATGCTGGAATTGGTAAATATAACTTAACTGTGGGCTAACAAATCGAAGCAGTATTAGAAAATTTTATACTTAATGTGGTACAACCGAACTCCATCACCATTGAGAAATTTCTATTATTTGCTACATGGAAGTAGGAGAAGGGAATGGTTTAAACTCTTACGGATTGTGAAATAACAACAGCCCATGCAAAGCTGACTGAGTGAAAGTGTTATCTTCTCTGAATAAAAGGTTGTATGGCAATACTAAAAGTGAGCAACCCAAAATTCACCTGCATAGAAGTAAGGCTTAGAGCTACAAAAAAGCTTCTTTGCTCCTCTACTCTCTACCTACAGCAGGCAGCACAGAAGTTGAAGCTTTTAGGCACTGTACATTCAAAAAGCAAAGACAAGGGATCATAATGCATAAAGTACAGTGTAAAAATGGTCCCACATCTCTTTAATGAACACAGATAAGCATGAGCATCAGCAATGCCATACCTATATGAAATGACTAGGCAAGAAGTCTACGCAGATACTACTGAGAAAAGCTTTTTAAGCACACAAACTATATGCACAAAATAAAAATTCAGATACAGTCCCTAAACAACAATCTACTATTTTCCTTTGTACAGAAAAGGGACAAGCGTTTTACTAAAGGAAGATCTCTCTGGATTTTGGGAGCTACTTAACTGATCCACTCTAAGGTAAGACTCAAGTTACTGCAGATTGGGAACCCAACTTCAGTCAATACTGCCATTTCATACGCTTAGCAAAGGGAAGTATTTAAGGGAAAAAAAAAAACACAACAAAAAACTGAAGCACAGAAAGAACTTTCAAGAACACATTTATTACTTCAGCACCAAGATAATATTAGCATCAAATGACAGTGTTTCACCCACCTAATGCCTCCAACTGCAAACATTAAATGAATGCAGGTGTTGGACTGAAGAACAAACTGAGTAAAGCTAAATAACTGGCAGAAATAAGGATGGCTAACTGGAACAAGAGAAAACACACATCTGGGAAGCAGCACACTTGTGGCAATAATGTTCAAATACAGACAGAAAGTTAAAATTCAGCTGTCTGTATGAGCAAGCAGTATCAGTTGTCACAGTTAAGATTTCACAAGGTTAAGTGCAGCTTTTAATGAAGGAAAGCATCTTCTCCTTTTCCATTTTCTTTCCATTATGAAAGGACAAGTACAAAATTCCTTACTCACATACAGTAACACAGAGGTGCTAATTGGAGTCAAATGACAACTAAAATTCTCCTCAGTTTTTCTGCTCTCCTAAGTAACTCTTATCAGCAGATTATTTTTTAACCACAAACATTGACAATAAAAATATCTTTGCATTCTAGGCTTTCGTAAGAGGAAAATTAATAGCTATATACTGCAAGTTGCATTGAAAATGTTAAAATGTTTGCGTGCAATGTCAAAGAAACTGAGCACCAGCAACTCCCATAGATTTCAAGTGGCACTAAAGACATTGATGATCTTAAAAATACAAACAACAAAACACAAAAACCCCACAACCCAATACATGTTATAGAATTCTTCGAGATGCCTACATAAATACAGTACTACCATCTGTTTATTAAATGCTTCTGAAAATTAGACAAACAAGGTGCCCAAATATGGAGTTTTATCACCCAAGTTTGTAAGATGCAACTCTAACACGTAAGAATTCTAAAATGCAAGTCCTGACAGAAAGCATAGATTCACAGATAGAAAGAAAAAAGAAAAAAAAATGAGAAAAACCACACACACAAAACACAACTTAAGATTATTTTCATGTCAGGTTGTGTCCCATTCACAATTTCAGAGACAGAATGACAATGTTTAGTGTTATCATCACTCTCAACTTATTCTGAAATAAGGGAAATGTCTGAGGAAGAGACATTTTCTAGCCCCAGCAGGAACCAAATAAATCCCTCACAGTGAATTCTAATCAGACACCAGCAGCACAGCTAGCTGATCCACAGCGAAATGAATATGACAGACTGGAAGATATGATGTCAATGGTGGAAATTACTGCAAGTATATGAATTATATCTGGAGAAGGGAAAGAAATTGCATAGAGTTTGACAGTACATGTAATCTATCTTAAATGATACAAAGTAGAGTAATTTTAACGGATTAAAATACACCTTCAAAGTTTACCATCTTTGGGAAAGCTGGGGCAGCCTCTGTATTTTGCTTCTATCTGTGATTTACAGGGTCCTATTCTTTGCTAGTCTTTCTCCAATTTGTCTGCCAGATCTGATTACCAGATGGCTAAAATAAAGGTATTGTGTTCATTCATGGTAACAGAAGTTGTCTTTAAGGGTTCTGTCATGGCTTCACTATCTTTTCCTTTGTACCTACTCCTCCCTCAGTGAATTGATTAGATTTCAGAGCTAAGTTTCATCAGAGGGCCATTCTGCTGAATGCTGCACTGAAAAGCATATTATCTATTCTAGGAAGCATATACAGATGACCACAGGATATCACAGACCTGTCCTAAAGCAACAACTGCCCTACTCTGCCAAGAAAATAGATTGTTTGATAATCTCAGGACATGGATTTCCAGAATGAGTATCTGTCACTAACATACATTCTAACGCAATCCAAGAAATAGGTGACAGTTGGATAGAAAGAAGGAAATTAAAAGCAACATATGCACGGTGCAAAGCCAAGGAAGGTAACATGACCAAAGTGCAGGCAGACAACAGTAGACAGATTAATGACTCTGAGAGCTACCCTATACCTCAGGAGTGGTAATTGTTCAGTACATGGTTTTGTTTAATCTGGTAAACCGCTACAAATCTGCAAGTAAAGAAGCTAAATGAAAGAAAAGGGCACGAATGCACTGTAGCATGAGGGAACCTGTACGGTTCTACACATTGTCTCCTTTCCTTAAGTAAAGTTACACACGCAATCTGTAATCTGAAGCGATAACACTGCCCCAGAAATCTCTTAGATGAACCCATCCTTGAGTGCATTTGCTACAGGTGTGAACCAGGTTCTTTACCCAACAGACCTCCTCCTGCAGTCAGATGTTTCCCTAATCTGAATTCCATTTTGCAAATATCTAACACAATTTATTAGCACTTCAGTGTTATTTATTTATCCATTAACATATGCGCATCTTGGGTTTTATTTTCAGTTTAGTACAATAATTCTCTGTCTCTTAGTCAAAGCTTAGATGTCGTACAACTGGCATCTGAAGAACAGTTTTTAATATATATGAAAATACATGTAGTGAATCACCTAGTCAACATTTAAGGGATCAAACTGACTGAACACAGAAGAGTGGCTTCAGAGCTAAAATAAGATGAAGCCTATATCTATAAAAACCCAAACCTGTTTTTCACCTCATATAATGTTTCCCACTTTTCCCGAAGCGTTTCCACTAAGTTTAATTTTTCTAAGTTGTATATTGGAAGCTTCATTGGTAATTATATATAAGCATGGTAAAATTAAAAAAACCAACCAAACAAAAAAACCAACCACACAAACAAAAAAACCCCCTTAGTATAGCTTTCGGTAACATTTGTCATTCTTCTTCTTTATTTAAACTACACTCAGCCTTTCAGTATTTTTTTAGCCAATAGCATTAATTCCTAAGCATGGCATTTGGAACAGACTGAGGTATAATTACTGGGAAATAAAAAACTCAGAACACTTGAAAAACAGAAATAAAAAATGAATAGACAACGGACCTATGTATTTTTTTAACCGCGGCACAAACATATGGTCATAGTAGTGGGATGCATTTTCTTTGTATACTGAGAAGGTTAAAAGTATTTTTTGACAGTTATAAAGGGGCAGTGTTGGCCATACACAAGAATCAATAACAACCATGTAAAGCCTACAGCAGTGCACACTAACAGGCTGTAGGAGACATTAACACTAGCTAAAAGAAATAACTGTATTTTCAATGAACTTGTTCCTCCTGGATAATCAATTTTTTACACTTCTTACCAGCTGTTCCCACATAGCTCAGGTAGTGGAATGGAAGCAGCTGTCATACAGAATCCATATATTACATGCATGTTATGAGGTTTTAATCTGTCATAGATTTTTTATGTTTGCTAATTTTGATCAGTCATATCAACTTGAGCACAAGATGAAAACAAATTCACCACTTCTATTGAGGCAAGATGTAATCTACACAAATACACTAATCTGGCTTGATTCATTCTGGATGGTAGAAAAAGAATACTAATTGTGAATCTACTAATGCCCCACACTCAAAACTCCTTTATTCCAGAAGTAAGATTTCATCATTAAAATCAGTTTGCCCCACCGCCCACATTCAAGAGATTTGTCACAATCATTGTTTCTGAAATATTGAGTTATAAGGTGCCGTAGTAATTACTATGGAATAAACAGCAATTAAGATTGTTCACACAAATAAGCTCAAACTGTTTGCAGTGAATAATTATGCTAATAGTGTTTTTCTACATAATTTGTGCATCCTTCACAACAATTTACTAGAAAATGTGAAATGTAAATTTGATGCACTACTACAAAAGCTCTGAAAATGTTTAATTCTTACATTTTTTTCCTCACTAATTTAAGAAAGCACACAACTAAAACATACTTCTACATTTGTACATTTAAATTGGAAGAAATCAAACTATGCTGAAATTGAAGTAGTCATTTTCTTTCATTGTATTCCTACAAAATCATCCTAAACCATATGCAACAGACATGCTCATTGCTTAAACCTCACAATGTTGTAACACAAATTTTAGCAATTTGAAAGAAGCTGAACTTACTGCTATATAATAAACTTTGGCCTTTTCCACCAACTTCCAGTTCTTCTCCAGATCAAGATGCTTTTCCTTCTTATAGCAATTAGCAGCAGCGAGGTTAGCTACAAGAGATCTGAAAGTGATTAAAAAACAGGCATTAAAAAACAGGCTCTTTAACTAACACTACTGCAAATTTGTCCCAAAGAACAAAATTTCTCAAAGATAATCAAAGATCTTAAAGAACATAAAAGCAATTAAAAACAAAGAGCACCATAGAACACATACTTTATCTGACCATTTCATAAAATTTAAATAATATATTTTAAATCATATATTTAAATAAAATTTAAATTTAAACCACATATTAAATAATGTATTCTAAATCCAGCTACACAGTTTATGTAACCTATGACTATTATACTGTTCACGTGCCTTCGTTTGCTTAGAATCAACCTTTGTTGCATTTTGTGATCAACTCCCTCTGTACAGTATAGCATCTGCAGATTTGCATTAAAACTCTTCTAGTACCTAACAACTAAAGGAAAGTAGCCACTCCAGTTTGATGGATATGTATGTCTCGCCTTTATCATTTTCCAATGAATAGTTATTTAAAAAGGGGGTTGTCTGGGTTTTTTCCCCCGTTAGGTTCATATTTTCCTTTAGCAAATGAAAAAGGGTCATGTTGCTACTGTTGGATGATGAACTGTTAAAAAAAAACCAAAAAACTTTGGCTTAGCTGTGTGTTACTGGAAAACTACTAAAAACTCATTTGTACTTCATTCTTTCCCAACAAGTTATAACACAAGCCACGGGACACAACTTCTATTAGCAAGAACAAAAATACTTGTATCATATTTACTTTGTTACATGCAAGGTACATTCTATTTTACATCCTCCTCTTCAGACATTCAATTCAGCCTTATGAAACACACAAAACTTACAGATGTACTCCTAAAAACAGGTCATAAAAAGATAGTTATGCACTAGGCTCTCCACTCTGGCTACCACGACCAAATCTTTCTGTGCAATTTTATTATGAGAATGTTTAATAACATCCAATATTTAGAGAAGTGGAGTTGGGGAAACAGACATTTCCATGCTGGCATACAGAGTTTTAAATTTAATTTTCAAGATTTAATAGTCATAAGATGCACTTTTAACATTAACACATCACTGTTTTGTGATATTTAAGTACATTAGCCAGATAAACAATGTGTAATTACACATACAATATATGGCTATTGAAAACTTCTGCCTTCTCCAACATGCATACAATTGATGTTGTATGTATTATCCTTTTCCACATAAATGCTACTACAATCCAGAGACAATGGGTCAGAGTGAATTGCTAGCCTGCTTCTACCGAGTCATGCTTCTGCCTCCAGACTAAGTACCATGTACAGGTGTTAGGAGGCAAATAAACTAGGAATTCTTGAAAATTTACTCCACCTTAAAACAGCATCTTTCCACTATCACCATTTCTCTTTATCCTATTCAATAAAAAACAGACAAAAGCCCAAAAGCATCTCTTAGGAAGACAGCAACCAAGTCTCCCTGTAAACTTCCCAAAGCACTCATGATTGACAATCCCTGTAAGTTAAACAGATCCAGTATATAAAAATTAAAACAAAAAGTTAGACTAACTTTTTCTGAATATATCAAAATACATAGCACAGTTCTGTGTCATTTCATCCCAGGAACATTCTTGGGGCTTATCTCTTTAATTCTAAAACCTAAAGACAATGAGAACTAATGTGAATTGGGAAAATTAAAACACACAAACAAACAACTTAGACCAAGCCTCTGTAGCAGTACAAGTAACAGGGCGAGAAGTTTCATTCTTGATGAATATTATCGTTTCAATGACAAGAAATCCACAGGAGAACCAAATAAATTCAAGACAGACATGTACATAACTGTGGTAATTTTCCGTAAACCAAATTTAAAAATAAAATTAAATCTTTCAGTTTTGGCAAACCCTAAATATCCATCAAGGAGCTAGCTGGAAAAATCTTGCTGTCTACGTATGTTGCTAAGTGAAAAGCAATCACGTTCCAGAAAACTAAGCAAAGACTCTCTATATGTTTCCTTTCACTTACCACATGCCCCTGAAACTGTAAACCTAGCTCTCTGTGGCTACATCCAACTGTAGAGATGCTCTGCACATGATGCATAATAAAAGATTGTTACGCTGAAGACAAAGCACCAAGCTTTTCCAAATTAAAACTGTAAGTCTAACAGCACTAAGTTCAACATGTGGGACACAGAGAAGGCAGATGTTTTTTCAATGAAATATGGTAATTGGAGACAGGCAGAGTGCTTCAAATCAAACACCTTAATGGAGGATCTGCATGTGGGTATTTCTGAGCAGAATGCACAAATCAAAGTCATAGATTATGATGGAGCATAGGTAATACTTTAGAGCTTAATCACGTGTTAGGATTTTCTTGAAAAGCTCTGAGAAAACAAAGTGTATTAGTATTGCTAAGCTAGAGAATTCAGAGTGGTAATCGGGAATTAGCTCAGAACCCTTTCCTGCAAAAAGCTAGACAGACTTCGCAGAAACAAGAAACACTCACATCAAGGCATCTGGAACATAAATGTACACAGCCACTTACTAAGAAAACCAGGAGTGCTATTAGCCAGCTCCTCCAAACGAGACAAGAAAGCTGAATTACCTGAAGAAGGAAGTGAGCACATACCTCAATTGGGACAAGAGATAAATCACTAAATTAGAGTTATCAACTGGGGCCAGGTTGAAGCGATTCTTACAAATACAGAAAATGCTGAAAACCAAGAAACAATCAGAGGGTAATTAAAGATTGAGAATAAACTTGCTCTCACTAGAAGAGGGGGGGTTGCACAACAAAGCCTTTAGCAACAACCATCCGCCATTTTTTTCTGTCTCCTGAGGAGGGAAATAAGTCTCTTGTACTCCCTGCACACTCTCAAGCATGTTCTAAAACAGCCATTGACATGAAGCCACTGTCTCTAGTACTTGAGCAAACATTTGATACTAAGAGAGAAAAGTGTTAGCAATCCAAAAACACTGCTTAAGTTACAGAAGTACTTGCAGACATTTTTATGAATAAATTTATCTAAACTTTTAAATTCCATTGAAATGCATGGCAAAAGATGCACATATTTTTCCTGAATTCATGATGTATGTCTATTGACAGTCTTGACTTCAGTTTCCCATCATGTCATCTAGGAAATGGTGATGGCTACAGGATGCGTACACAGACACTATGTGACTGAAGAGAGAGAGAATCACAGAGCAGAAACATCTTTATTGCTTGTCTTCTCTTTGAAAACCTGAATATGGATCCTGGAGATGAAGGGGGAAGTCTGTAGATATAATTAATGTCAAAACTCCAGATGAAGATGAATGAACTTCCTTCCTCCACTGAGTACATACATTCATTCCTGAGAGTAAGACATTATGTATGACATTAAATTGGGAGGGACAGGTTGATAAGCTCGAGGACAGAGCTGTCTGTCATTCAGTGGATCTTCAAAAGCCTGGAGAATTGGGCTGACAGAAAACTTTAAGGCAAATGCAAAGTCACGCAACTAGGATGGAATATAGCCTGAATGTTGACAGGATACAACACAGCTTTGCAGAAAAGGACCTGGAGGTGCTGGTGGACCACGCTTGAAACATGAGTCAGCACTGCACCCGCACAGAGGTTAATTACGTTCTGGTCTATATGAGCAAGCATGCAGCCAGCAGGAACATGGCCCTGATATATTCAGAACAGAGGAAAACCTCTGTTCTGGTCTCCAGACCTCATCTGGAGTTCCGTGTCCAGTTTTAAGCTTTCCGTTACAAGGAAGACGCTGACATAATGGAGTGAGTCCAGTAGCAGGCCATCGAGGGGGCTGGAACACTTAACAAATGAAGAAAGGCTTGGCTGAGCCTTAAGAAGAGGTACCTAAGGGAACACCTTCCTGCCATCTTCAAATAACTAATGAAAGTTTACAGAGAAGATGGAGCCAGACTATTCTTGGACACAAGAAAGAACAGACACAAGCTGGAAGAAGAAGGAAAATTCCAGCTGGGTATCATCAAAAGAATTTCTCCCATGAAGAGTGGTCAAACACTAAAACAGGTTGCCCAGAGAGGTTGTGCAACCTCCATCCTTGGAGATATTCAAAACCCAGCTGGACATGGCCCTGAAAAACATGATCTAACTTCGAAGTTGGCCCTGCATTCTGCAGGGGCTTGGAACAGATGTCTGCTCTAACTAAAATTTTTCCAGGGTTCTACATTATTATATGGAAAAATCTCCCTCCCGTGACTCTCAGTTCAGTACATGTTGCTGCCTATTGCCTTTTCTAATTCTACCCAAAACATTCACCAACTTCTCAGGAAGTTTGGTGTAGATTTTAATTACCAGACTGCTATCTTACCTTAGTAACTTCTACTAACTCCTGATACTGCTTTGAAAGGGAAAGA